GACTATCCGACTGTGAGACGGAATCTGCCTTGTCCACAGGGAGATCAAACACGCGACGACGACTGCGTTGCATGCCTGACGGAAGTGGGCACACCCTTGAGAAGTCGAATGAGGACAGTACGAAGGTATATGAGTGATATAAATGGCAACGATATACGACTAATCATGAGAGAAACGAGTTTGCGGGGTCTGGGGGCGTAAGGCAATAATTCGTACTTCATCTTAAACGTTCTTCCCCTACCCCCCGAGCGGCTGATCGATTATTTTGTTAAGAAACATTGAACTGTGATTTCAGTGTGTCGGGTAACCTAACCATAAAGCATGTATTCGCCTGAAATTGCTTCGAAATTGCACAACTGATTCTCACACAATTGGTCAGAAAATAGTCCAAAAAGGAACGAACCATTTCATATCTGAGAAAGCAAACCACGATCGATAAGGGAACGAACGAGAGTAGTGTAGATGACTTTGCCGGTGGCTAATCCAATAGACCTAAATTTCATTTACCCACCTTCGCCACTACTGCCGGTGTAGCCATCACCAATTGGTGTGATGATGGTCATGTTTTGAGAAAACTGGGTTTCAATGAACATTGGTATTTGAAGCTTTAATTCTGTCTTGCCCATGGCACTTCCCTATGTGACTGAAAAAGTGTAGAAAAATGCTCGAACTGGTTAATGCAACACAGCACAATTGCCCTCTTCTCTCCATTTACCAATAAGCTCATTATGATTGAATCTTGATCAAACTTTGTTAATCACTTTCCGTTATAATTCGAATGATAGACTGCGTGTTAGCGCAATGGACATCGTACTGATTATCATTGGGTTTTGAGCGATCCCATATACTGGATAGTATCACGAATGATTGATGTAAGCATGCGCCAAGTCCTGTTTGTGCACATTGTCCATGATCTATCCAAGTACTTAAATTCAAATAAAAATTGATAGTTCGCCTTTTTTTCAAGTGGTAAACGTTACCGTATCGGAAGCTGTAAGTCAGAAATTTCACTGTCGAAATCGATACACCGAATACTCGCGAATATTCGGAGAATGTGAAGTGCATCTACGACTATAATTGGCCAGTTTTCTCTTAGGGAATAGTTGCACAGTGAAGAGATCCCTCGGCAGACAGCTTTTCCCGAGCAGGTACTGATCAAAAGAAAATTAAGGTGGATAGCTCATGTAGTGACGAAAGCTGATGGTCATGTGGATAGGTAGACTGGATTGTGCACGTTGGCATTTTGCTTCCCATTTGGGATTCGCAGGATGCAAAATCTCAACGATCGGAGTCTATTCAGGCTTGATCAAAAACAATCCCTGGAAATTACGTCTGTTCCCACCGTGGAAGGAGTTATCCTTGCTGTGTGCAAATAGAGATTTGACGGAAAAATGATCTGCAACAGCTATTCCGGAGAGATTCAATTAAGCGAGAAACGGCTGCGATAGCATGATCAGATCAGTATTACTGACGATATGTGTGAGGGGGTGGTCATGTAAACGAATCCAGCAATTAATCTGGATATCACGGAAGAAAATTTAATTTCTGTTAATCAGCAAATCAGTAGATAACTCGACTGTTCAGGTGAATCGTTGCTGCTTCTTACTTCATGTAGTACTGTTAAGCGCGAAGTCAATGAGCCTTGCCATCTCAACAGCAAACAGTGGAGTTGAAGAGAACCTCCTCCTCCTTCATATAATTTGCTCACTGGGTTAATGAGGACCTAGACCTATCCCATCCAAGCAGACGATTCTTCTCAACATTTACACCTGGGCATGATCGCCGAATTATCTATCTTGACGTGACTAGCTTTGTTAACTGTCTGAGATAGACCAATGACTGCCGGATTAGTTCAGTCTTGACTAAAGCTCATTCGATCAATGGTCAAGGCCATAATGATGACGACGAAACTAGCAGTCAAACCCAACGCAAACGCAAACATTGATTTTCGCTCGGCAACTCATCCTAAGAGTACGTTTGTTCGGTTACGGAGGAATTACTTCATTCCGACAGAACAGGGGTTGTGATGGCCCCATTACAAAAGGTAACGTGTGATGACCGAAGAACCAATCATCCTGTGGGGTTCCCAATCTAACGTTATCGGTGAATTCACATGAAGTTACAACAAGTTCACCCAAAATTGAAACGATGCAGTGTGATGGATGTCACCCTTCTGCTGTTCAGGCCATTTTCAACGAACAGAAATTAATAAATTCAACGGTTAGAAATGCTTAGAGAAGACACGCTGGGTCATTTACTATGAGGCTCGACAACAAGCTAAGAAAACCATTCGTCTTCGCATTGCAGTCTTATCTTCTTCGGTTAAGGAAATCAATACTTTCTTTCTATAATCTCAGTACAGCTTGACAGTACGAGAGCAATACAGAATTTACGTTCAATGAAGATTAGATGTATTCGACACAAACGTAATAGCAGGGCAGTATTCTCTAAGATGCTTCTATGTGATTGCTATTCGCGTAGGCAGCAGCAATACAATGCAAGAGCTGTGTTAGCGGCAGAGTTGATAAAATCATCATCAGTCATGATTGTCCGTTTTCGGGCTGTTTACCGCACAGAAGGTAGTGAAACAATTGCAATAAAAAAATGATCTGAGACGACAGACAGCTAATGATCTCTAACCGCCAGTTGTTTAGTCATTTTTCTCATATCTTTCATGCTATGGATTCCGGACTGATTTCTCACGCATTTCGGAAAGTCTACTATACTTAGGTACAGTGGTACGACGGATAAAACGATCTAAACAGGAGTTGAAAGGGAACTTATGAAGTGAGAGCGGTCCAGTTAGTCAATGGGAAGCCCGTTTAAAGTTAGCACTGCGCGGTAATTGAGGCAATTGTTGATAAACGCAGCGAAAACAGAAGTCTTCTGATTAGGCAAGAAACTGTATCTACTGAAAACAACTAACAGAGACTTACTTCGCATAGAGTGGTTCAATCAGGTAATGCAACAATTCACAAATGGCATGATTCAGTGGTCTGTAAGCGGTGGCCCAATACCCGGTGAAGCGATCCAGTATGGCCTGTGCGTTTGTCCAATCTCTGTGACGAATGAGAGCGGCGACCAATTCCAATTTCTGGTTATTTTCATACTAAAATTCAAGAAACACAACAACGATATCGTGTGTGTGTGAGAGAGAGAGGCAAATCGAGTAGCGTGAAACTGTAACTCGCGATGCATGAATCTGACGAGATTAGAATACAGGCGAGTGATTTTTGGATGTGTGCCCCGCAATCTTCATCTATCGCCTCACTTACGTCAAACCGATTCATTGGGGTTGAACTTCGGGCATGTATGTTAAGTTAACACAGTTTCAGTTCAATAACCATGCACTTTCGAGCGCCTGTTCGGGTTGCTGTCTTTTGGCTGCTTATTTGGATGAACAGTAGGAAACAGGGAGGTTGAAAGTAGAGTCGAATAGAAAATGGAAAATTTCAGTGGATTAGTGTTGCAAAGAAAAAATGGAGAAGATGCACGAACGCCACTGTTAACGACACGCAGCCATTTCACTTAGTGTCTCTAACCGCCGATGAAGATCATCCCAAGGGAGCCTAATGGGACCTATGTGACCGAGTCTCCAGGTCTTACCTTGCCCACCTTTGGCTTTATTTCACCCACTACCCGCCTCGGCAAACTGGCTGGTGACATGCGTAACACATGCCCAAACAACGTAATCTATGGAGGTCGACCACTTGCTCCAGTGTGACCGCGGTTACCTAAATCACTATAGGTTTCGATCAAACATCATAGATAATATGATCATTCACCTAGTGATTGATGCTTACAAGCAATGAGCACACATATTCCCCCTCCGCTCATGAATTAGTGTCTCAATAAGGTAAGGGATGTGTTTTCGTGACCAGATCTCACCGTGCCGGATACTACTCCTCAAACATCCGAATTACTTGCGTTCACAGGGATTGCTGGGGATGCCTTACTCACTTCCATCTGGTAACGGAGGAGTTTTCACTGACTCATGGGACACCGTCCCTTACGATGGATCACGAACTGGAAGCACCATAACACTGCCTTGTAGATTAGACTAGTCTAGTTCAGGCCAGTAAATCATTAATAATCATGATAATGAACGGTTTCGATCCCACTCTTAGAGTCAAACAGATGCAATCCACTTAGCTGAGGTTAAGTGACATTTAATGTATTGTCCTGTTTCAGATGGATCTGAAAGGCCAACAGCCAGATGGCATTTTGAAAACTCGTATGGCCTGAGTTGTGCCGNTAACAAGAGAGTATTTCACCCGTAGAGCACAACTACCAGACATCGCTAGAACGACCGTTTCCAAATTTGAGAACAGTTCATCGCTATCGGTTCTAATGAGCGGAGGGCAATATCATTCAGCATTATGAAATAATAAAGGAGCTTTTGAGTGAAAGAAAAACAACAGTCCTGGTCGGAACCGGGGTAGGCAAATTTGACAATATACATCTGAATTCGGATTGGATGTCATTGGAGCGCAATACATGATGAGTAGAAGAGAAAGACCGACTGAAACAAAAATAGGGTCTGGTTCTGAACAGAAGAGTTTTTCACCATACATCTCTCTCCCAATATATATATATATATATATATATATATATATATATAT